TTCCCCAGTTCTAAGCTGCTGCTTTTTTTCCCAGAAGGGGACCAGGAGGGATCCTCAGTTTGAGAACACTGAAATCCAGAACCCCTGAGGAGTTAGGGAGACTAACAAAAGCCCTCCCAAAGGTAGTTAGCTGCAGTCACTGGTGGGCACAAGCTGCCCCTATTGGAATCAATGTCCTTTTTCCTGTTTGCTAAGCACCACATTTGTGGATGGACCCACAGGTCAGCCCACCCTGCCTGCAGGTTCTTAACAGGAGCAGTGGGAGAATTTTTTTCAAATGTCTTCTGCCCTTTTTGGTCTATCAAAAAAGGAAGCCAGAGAAGAACTAACTGTACAGTAGTATTATCGATAGTCTCAAAGTATCTCCCAACAAGCTCCCTGGGTTAAGGTGGTATCTGTCTTTCTCCATTATAAAGTTACAATTTTTCCCTTTGCAACATCTGCTCAGCCTGGGTTCCTCACAGCATTAGGAAAGCTTACCTAAGCACCTTCCAGCACCCAGTTCACTTGCCTCTGTTGAGTGAGCACCATGAGCAGGCAAACAGGCAGATTGGCATGTGGCATGTGGGCATCGGGATACTTAGGATCTTCAAGGGCAGTGCCCTCTGCTCCCACTTCATGGGATTGCCACCAATAGGGTGAACAAAAGAGCCCCTAGCAGCAGCAAATCCCATTGTAAGAACATGGCATGCAATTCTCTGGGAGAAGGGAGAGGTGGGACAGGCTGGGCTACTGGAGGAACTCCCATGGGTCTCCCCATCCCCCACACCAGCCTGAGCTGAGTAGATTGCAAGCCAGGAGCATTTGGGTATCTGGAGAGACCTAGAGGGATAGTCAGCGGTGCACACAAATTAAACAATGAGAGGCGGGCATGGAGTTAGGGTGAACATGCAACCAAAAATATAGCCAATCCAGCTGGAAGCATGACAGGTGGGCTACAGCCTCAGCCATTCTGTTCATAAGCCGTAAGATTTTGAACCAGATAGAAAGATCCCCAAATAGGCAGACACACAGACCCCTGGCTAGACAGACTTCTGGATGGACAAAATCCCAGGGAGACAAGACTCCAGAGGGACAGACAGCCAGATAAATGGACAGATTCTTGAACAAATGGGAAGATACCCAGCCAGACATCCAGAAAGACCTGTGGTCAGACACATGGACACCTTCCCGGTGCCAGCCAATTAGGTGATCCCAGCCAACCAAAAGACAAAATCCCTCAAGGACAGACAGACATTACCCCAGCAGAGAGATACCCCACCTACCCAGTAAATTAGCCAGGCAGACCTCAGCTTGACAGGCTTAGCTCCTGCCAGTAAGACAGACCCCAGCCTATGAGAAAGCCAAGCCCTTAGCAAGATAAACATCACCCTGAAAAGCCAGGTGGACAGATAGATACATCCCCCCACTGGACAAACAGACCCTCAGTCACTGGTCAGAAGATCCCCAGCTAGCCAGACCCCAGCTTCTGGGTCAGCCTTCCTGCCTCCCAGTCACCACCATAGATGATATGGATGGCCCAATGACCCTTCAATGTTGCATCTTCTCCCCAGGTACCACCAGTTTCCAGTGACCTTTGACCTCCAATGACATCCACTAACACCAGGGTCCACAAAGACATTTCACGATCCCACAGTGACTCTTCCTCATTTACTCTGGTATCCAATAGTCCCTAATGACTGCCATTAGTATCCATGAGTACTCAGACTAAGGAGTGTCCATGACTCCTTCATTGAACATCCATATCTCCTCAAAGTTCCCTGAGACTTCTGTATCCCACCTCCCTGAGTCTCCAAAAACCCATGACCATCCACAAAATCTCAGTGATTTCATTGACATACACTATAGTGCACTGAGCAGGAGCCCTCAATGACCTTCCTTCTTTTGATCCCTCAGTTACTTAAACTATCACTCCAAATCCCAATAGCCCTTCAGCTACTTTCACTGTCTCTCACTGACCTCCAATGACTGCCAATAACATCTGATGACAGTTGCCCATGAACATCCAAAGAACTCTCACTGACCTCCAATGAATTCACTATAAATGTCCATCCTCAGTGATCACTACTGACCATCTTTGAACTCTTAGAGATGAAACTAATAAACACTGAGTCCACGGTGATCCCACCCAACCCCTCAATAAACAAAACCAGTGATCATCCACTTTGACTTCTGTCACTTAAACCTGGGTCAGTACTAAGTCCAGGCACTGTACCAGGAATTGCTAGGGTTCTACCTATCTTTCAATTTAAAGTGCTGGTGTTTAAAAACAGTTTCAAGGGTAGGGATGAGACCCTCTGTACTTTGCTTATTTTGAAGAATCAGTGGTAGGAGCAGTGAAAAAAATCCCATGGAATACATTTTTGAAGTAGCACATTTCTGAAGTCATAAGTAAGTTGATTCAGGTTCTAACCCTTTGCTGTACACAAGCAGATAGAAATGCATCTGTTATATGAGTGAGAAAAGGCTGTATGCCAACTGAGCATGTTTTTTTTAATTTTTTATTGTTACGTTAATCACCATACATTACATCATTAGTTCTTGATGTAGTGTTCCATGATTCATTGTTTGTGCATAACACCCAGTGCTCCATGCAGAATGTGCCCTCTTTAATACCCATCACCAGGCTAACCCATCCCCCCACCCCCCTCCCCTCTAGAACCCTCAGTTTGTTTTTCAGAGTCCATCGTTTCTCATGGTTCGTCTCCCCCTCTGACTTACTCCCCTTCATTCTTCCCCTCCTGCTATCTTCTTCTTTTTCTTCTTTCTTAACATATGTTGCATTATTTGTTTCAGAAGTAGAGATCTGTGATTCAACAGTCTTGCACAATTCACAGCGCTCACCATAGCACATACCCTCCCCAATGTCTATCACCCAGCCACCCCATCCCTCCCACCCCCCACCACTCCAGCAACACTCAGTTTGTTTCCTGAGATTAAGAATTCCTCATATCAGTGCGGTCATATGATACATGTCTTTCTCTGATTGACTTATTTCACTCAGCATAACACCCTCCAGTTCCATCCACATCGTTGCAAAAGGCAAGATCTCATTCCTTTTGATGGCTGCATAATATTCCATTGTGTATATATACCACATCTTCTTTATCCATTCATCTGTCGATGGACATCTTGGCTCTTTCCCTGAGCATGCTTTTTAAACCCTTAAAAAATACTAAGCATATAAACTTGCATTTGAGCTTGCCAGTGGTTTTTTGTTGTTGTTTTTAATGTGTGTTCTCTCTCAGATTTTCTAATGTGTGCTGTGAATAACTCAAGAAGACCAGTTCCTTTTGGGTTCCTTATTTGATTTACTTAATTATATATTAAGTACATTCTAACATTGCAAATATTACCACAAGTGGGTAAAAGTAAAATTGGTCTTCTGAAAATGTGTCCTGTGCTTTTAAGTTCCACAAATACAAAGTACACGCATTTTCATAGAAACTCAGTATCATTTCTAAATTTTCTGCTTAAAAATATATAGTTATTTGATTTCTAGCTACATTAAAAATAAAGTATGGTTTCAAACCAGAGGAAAAAAAAAAACAAAAAACAAGAAACCTGGGTCAGTAAACCAGGTTACACAGCCTCAGGCTACACACACAGAAATGTTTTGTGACACATGAAAATTACATGAAATTAAAATTTCAGTGTCCACAAATAGTTTTATTGGAATATAGCCACACTCATTTCTTTACATGTGGCCTATGGCTCTTTCACACTGCCATGGTGGAGTCGAGTAGCTGGGACAGACACCAGAGACAGCAAAGCCAAAAACCAAAGCCTTTTGAAAAAAAAAAAAAAAGAGTTTGCCCATCCCTAACTCAAACAACACTCTAATAATCCATAATTAATTAAATCCACACCCTGAACCAATGACCTTGTTGACCCCTCAATCACTTAAAGTACACCTTACTCCATTGGTTAACCTTTCACACCTCAACGACCTCAAACTGAACTCCACAGACACCCCCTCCAGTGACACCCCCAGAAATTCCTTCCATGACTCCTGGAGCCCTGCTGGGTGAGGGGTGGGCTGGCCCATCTACCCACGCAGGACCCCTAGGCTCCTCTCTGCTTTCTCCAGCCTCCCCTTGGTTACCCGGGGAACTGGGTCACCAAGTGGTTCTCTTGGCCTTTTCCTGCGCATTTTCTTAAGTTGAGGGTGTGGAGACAGCAAAAAGAGAAACTCTTTGAAAGCTCTGAGAACATCTTTCCCCCTGGAACCCACTTTGACGGCCTCAGTTCTGTTTCCCTGCAGGTTTATGCGGGTTGAGATCATTAAATTCAGAAAGGATCCTGGCGCCCCCAGCTCCTCCTAGCCCGACCCAGAAAACGGAACCTCAGGAAATACAGAGATACAGAAACAGCCGCTTCCATTCGGTCTTTCTCACAGCAGGGGTGTCCGGGTGTCATTCCCCACCCACCCCACCCCCCCAGCGGCAACCTCGGCAACCTCCCGTGACCTCCCTCGGGCCCCGCCGCTGGAGCTCACAGTGAGGGACGCCCCCAACCCAGGCTCCTCGAGGCAGGACTTGCAGCTCGATCTCCGCGACCATCTCCACTCACAGCTGCCGCGCCGCCTCTCTGGTTCGGAGCCTAGTCTATCTCTCAGGGAGACTGGACCTGGGAGGCCAGGCGAGAATGCAAGGCCATCTACCCAACGCGCGCCCTTGGAGGAAGGTTGGCCCGGGACGCGGATCCTGGGAACAAGCAGGAGAAAGCGTCCAGGGGGTTGTGCGGACTCAGCCAACATTCCCGCCGCGCATAAAAAGGGAAGTACCTGCGCTGGACTCAGTTCCCAGGCCCAGCGGGAGACAACGCAGGGCTCCCGAGGGTGCCCGGGTCCCGGAGCCTGTGGGCGGTACCGGGGCGAGCTCCGAATGTCATTGGCCGAGAGGCGAGTCCTGCCGGCTGTTGCGCGCTTCCATTGGGTTGCCAGATAGGAGGCGGGGCCTCCGCAGCCCGCCTCCGTCTCCAGCTTTCTTGCTACTAGCTGAGCGGAGCGCAGCAGCTGGACTGGACCTCACTGGCCCACGGCGTCATGAGCCACAACTTGGACGCTGCGCGGAGCTTCTTGGAGCAGTTGGAGGCGCGAGGCGGCAGGGAGAGGGCGATCCTTGCCGGCGAGTTCAGCGTAAGTGGGCGAGAGTGGACGTTCAAACCTCGCACTCAGTCTCCTGGTCCTGGGCTGTCCGATGTCTGTCCTGTGCGCCCTGCCGCGTTCTGCCCCCACCCCGCTTATGCGTCCAGGGTGTCTCCTCGCTTCAAGGTCTATTTTTCTCCCCCCGGCACCTCTCTGTCGCTCTCTCCCCTGTCTCTGTCCTCATCCTCTGCCCACAGAACCCCAGAGGGCCAAGTCCACGGCCGGGTTGGGCGGTGCCGTACACGCCCTGTGTCCCTGTGCCCTCATCCAGCTCCCGGAACAGTCCCGCTACTGGGTGGGGCTGGAGAAGCCGGCGCAGTAAGGGAAGGCAGGCGTTCACTTGCGCTTGACACCGGTCACCCGGGCCTCTCCAGGCACCCCGGTGATCACTTCTGTGATCATGTGGAAGAAGGGGTTAGGGGAAGAGGAACCAAGAAGCCCCACTGTGGGTGGGGGGGAAGAGGGGGTGGTGGTGTGGATGCCGGTCTGTAATAGGCCCTGTGACCTAGGGTACTTTACCCGGGTCCTCTGGCGTCAGTTTCTCCTCGGGTAAAACGCAACTGCTAATGACCTGAGGAACTGGTGTGGGTAAAAAAGCGCCTAGCACATCTTGAGCGCTCAGTTTGTAGGATCCTTTGTCACTAGTTATAAATATTCTAAACATTACAATGCCGTGATGCAAGCCATGTGTAAGGAATGCTAATGCACCGTCGTAGGCATTCGTAGGTGTTACTATCGTCTGATTTTGAATAGCTGATATGATGGTAATACACTTCACGAATTATAATAATCTAACAGAAACAAAGTATCTGTAATATTTTGTTACATAAGTAATGTTATACATTATAATTCATATACATTGTATATTGTCACATATATCATACATCATCATGTTTGTTATATTAAATACATGTTCCATTACAATTATTGTTTACAATACAATGTAACACAGTTTGAGCGTTTAGGGGATAGATGCTGAGAGGTTTGAGTGCAACTCTCACTGGGTGGGACTTTTGGCAAGTCACTCAACCATGTGGCGCATCAGCTTTCTTACCTACACAATGGGGACATTAATAATAGTACTAACTTCGGGGTGACCTTGTAATGATTCAATGTCATTAGCACAGAGCCTGGCATAGAGAAGGTGCTCTGAGTTGCTATTACTATTGTATCACTACAGTTACCCAGGCACCATGCTATCTAAGAGTCTGCATTCACCTCTCACAGGCCACGTACCTTGTATCCCTACAAGTGCCTCTGTGCCCCAGAACTTTGACCTTGCTCCTCTCTTCCTCTCTCCTCCCTTTCCTGGGTCGGCTAACGGTGCCTTCCGCCAGGACATCCAGGCCCTCTCAGCCGCATGGAAGACTGAACGTGTGTGCTCCACTGAGGCTGGCAGTATGCCAGGAAATGTGAGGAAGAACCGCTACAAAGATGTGCTGCCCTGTAAGTCGGGGGCTTCCAGAGGGAGTCAGTGAAGCTCTGCACACATCCTCCATCCCATGACAGTCCAGTCCACCCCACTGTGCTCCCAGTGCACTCCCTCTCAGATCCTTGCAATGGCTGCATTTCTCCTGAGCAGCTCACAAGTGCACCCAGGTGGGATCCCTGCTGGGTGTGCAGTAACCCTGCTGGCTTTCATCCAGGAGGCCATCAGGGCTTTGATGCTCCTATCACCCCAAAGCACTTTTCTCACCTCTCCCGCTGGCAGATGATCAGACACGAGTGATCCTCTCCCTGCTCCAGGAGGAGGGACATGGCGACTACATCAATGGCAACTTCATCCGGGTCAGGCTGGGAGTCAGGGAAGGGGTGGACTTGGAGGGGGTGACAGCCAGATCTCGGTGATGAACTTAGCCTTTATCAGGGCACAGATGGAAGCCAGGCCTACATCGCCACACAAGGACCCCTGCCTCACACCTTGCTAGACTTCTGGCGCCTGGTCTGGGAGTTTGGGGTCAAGGTCAGCCTTAGAGGACGGTGAGGTGGGGCTAACATTCTGAGTCCTCCCTTGGCCTTGTTTCTCCAATTCCCTAACCCAAATCACTCCCCTCTTCCCTTACCCTTCTTGTCTAGGTGATCCTGATGGCATGTCGAGAAATGGAGAACGGGCGGGTAGGTGTCCTCAGCCCTCTAGAATACATTTCCTTGTGCAGGAAGGAGGCAGGAGAAATCTTGCTAGCACCTCCCTAATCCCAGGTCTGAAAGGCCCAATTCTTGAAGTGACTCCACTATTGCTCTCTTTAATTTTTTGTTGATCTTTTTACTTTTATTCATGGCGCTCATCCCTGCAGTGTTCACAACCCCTTTACTGCAGGTCTTCCTAACCCAAGTCTGTATCATAGACCATAAGGCCCTACACTGAGCTGTCCCTGGTACAGCTCTTATCTCTGTGTTTATCTCTCTCTCCTTTATTCACTCCACTCTAGCCATTTTGGCCTTTGCTGTTCCTCAGATGTGCTAGGGATGGCACAGTCTCAGGGCCTGTGCCTTGGCTGTTCCCTTTGCCTGGAACATTCTTCTTGGTTTGCTCTACTACCTAACCTTCAGACCTTTGTTCAAACGCTACTTTCTCCATGAGACCTTCCTGGATCTTACACCATTTAAAACTCCCAGCACTCCAATCTCCTTCCTGTGTCCTATTTTCCTTCGAAGTTCTTACCATTTCTAGCATACAAGGTAATCTACACATTGTTTATTCTCCATCTCCTTGATTAGAAGATAAGTCCAGGAGTGCAGGGATCTTTGTTTTGCCTGTTAGCATAAATTAGTTACTCAATAAATGCATGTCAGCTTTGAAGGCACATAGTTTCTACATTCTGGCCTATTCAATAGACAGGGTTGGGAAGTGGGGTAAGTACTGCCCAGGGATGAATGGCTGATCATAGAATCTGTACAACCTGTAGTGATGCCCCTTTTTCATTCCTGATTTTGGTAATTTGTAGTCTATCTCTCCAATGTCAGTCTGGCTAAAGATGAGCAAACTTTACTTATTTTACTAGGTCTGTCTTTCTGCCTTTTTTTGTAAATAAAATGTATTAAAATACAGCCACACTCATATGTTTAGATATTGTATATACCCACTTTCATGCTACAATGGCAGAATTCAGTAGTTGCAAGTTGGGTGGATTGAATGGCTCACAGAGTGTAAAATACTTATTATCTGGCCCTATTTTATAGGAAATGTTAGCCATCTCTGGGTTAGAGGTTTGTCAATTGTTGTTGCTGTTGCTGTTGTTGTTGTTTTTTAAAGAACCAGCTTTGGGTTTTATTTTTCTCTATTTTTTTCTCTTTTATATTTCTCTATTTTTTTCATTTTTTATTTCATTAATAACTTTTCATCTTTTTCATTTCCTTCCTAATGTTATTTAGGTTTAACTTGCTCCTATTTTTCTAGTTTCTGAAACTTAGATCATTGACTTGAGATTTTTCTTTTTTCATATATAAGCATTTAATGTTATTCATTTTTCTCTAAGCACTGCTTTAGCTACATCTCACGAACTTGATAAATTGTATCTTCTTTTTCAATTAGTTCAAAATATTTTCTAATTTCCCTTGTGATTTCTTCTTTGACTCATTGTATTTGACCATGGTTGTACTTAGTTTCCAAATATTTGAGGACTTTCCCATATATCTTCCTGTTATTAATTTTTAGTTAATTCCACTGTGGTCAAAGAACAACTTTATATGATTTTAATCATTTTACATATACTGAGACTTGTTTTATGGCTATGAATATGGCCTATCTTGGTAAATAGTCTATGTACACTTGAAAAGAATGTGTATTCTGCTTTTGTTGAGTGGAGTGTTCTATAAATATCAATTCAGTCAAATTGTGTCTTTTTTGAAAGACACTTTAATATTTTTGTATCTTTGCTGTATTTTATAAATCTTTACTAATTTATTTTCTCTAAATGTTCTATCAATTGCTGAGAGAGGAGTGATGAAATCTCAACTATTCTATAACTGCCAATTAGGACAAATATTATTCAAATCTTATTGTTCATATGACTTTTTAGGGGGTCTTCTTGCCCGATTATTTGCTGAAATAATGTTGAAATCTCTAATTTTAAAATTATCTGTCTTTTCAGTTCTGTCAGTTTCTGCTTCAGCTATTTTGAAACTCTGTAATTGAATGCATATACAGTTAGGATTATGTCTTCCTGATTAATCAATCCCTTTTCCAATATGTAAGGTTCCTTTCTATCTCTGGTAATATTCCTTTTCTGAAGTGTACTGTGATATTAATATAGCCATTTAAATTGTGCTAGAGTGTGCATATCTTTTTCCATTCTTTTACTTTTTATCTATGTTCATCTTTATTTTTAAAGTGTCTTGTAGGTGGCATATTGTAGGGGCTTACTTTTTAATTTAGTCTGACAATCTCTGCCTTTAATTGGAGTAAATCTACCATCTTTGTTTTCTGTTTGTTCCATCTGTTCTTTGCCCCTTTATTCTTTTCTGTCTTCTTCCAGATTGAGAATTATTTATTTATTTGAGAGAGAGAGCACGAGTCAGGGAGAGAGGCAGAGGGAAAGGGAGAAGCACACTCCCCACTGAGCAGGGGCCTGACGTGGGACTTGATCCCAGGATCCCAAGACCATGACCTGAGCCAAAGGCAGATGCTTAACTGATTGAACCACCCAGATGCCTCCAGACTGAGAATTTTTATGAATCCACTTCATAGTCATTATTTACTTATTAGTTATACCTCTTTGTATTATGTGCTTAGTGTGGCTTTAGGGTTTATCAGTTATATCTTTAACTTATCAGTCTACACTCAAATAATATTATGCCATTTCATTTAAAACGTAAGAACTTTATACTAGCATATTTCAAATTTCTCATTCCATGCTTTACGTTATTGTTGCCATAGGTTTTAATTCTAAATATGAAATATACTCCACAATGCACTGCTATAATATTTTTGCTTTAGATTGTCTTTTTCTTATTTTTTTAATTTTTTAAGTCCAGTATAGTTAACATACAGTGTTATATTAGTTTCAGTGTACAATATAGTAATTCAACAATTCTAAATATTACTCATTGACCATCATGATAAGTGTACTCTTAATCCCCTTCACCTATTTCACCCATTCCCCACCCCCACCTTCCCTCTGGTAACCACCTGTTTATTCTCTATAGTTAATAGTCTGTCTTTTGGTTTCTCTCCCTTTTTTTTCTTCATTTGTTTGTTTTGTTTCTTAAGTTCCACATATGAGTGAAATCATATGGTATTTGTCTTTATCCGACTGATTTATTTCACTTAGTGTTATACCCTCTAGGTTCATCCATGTTGTTGCAAATGGCAAGATTTCATTCTCTATTCCATTGTATATATATACCACATCTTCTTTATCCATTCATCTCTTGATGGACACTGGGCTGCTTCCATAATTTGGCTATTGTAAATAATTCAGCAATAAACACAGGGGTGCATATATCCTTCTGAGTTAGTGTTTGAGTATTCTTTGGATAAATACCAAGTAGTGCAATTCCTGGATCATAGGGTAGTTCCATTTTTAATTTTTTGAGGAACCTCCATACTGTTTTCCAGAGTGGCTGCACCAGTTTGCATTCCCACCAACAGTGCACAATGGTTCTTTTTTCTCCACAACCTTGCCAACCCTTGATGTTTCTTGTATTTTTGATTTTAGCCATTCTGACAGGTGTGAGGTGATATCTCATTGTGTTTTGATTTGCATTTCCCTGATGATGAGTGATGTTGAGTGAGCATCCTTTCATGTGTCTGTTGGCCATTTGGATGTCTTCTTTGGAGAAATGTCTGTTCATGTCTTTTGTTCATGTTTTAATTGGATTATTTGGTGTTTGGCTGTTGAGTTAAATCAGTTCTTTATATATTTGGTATACTAACCCTTTATCAGATATGTCATTTGCAAACATCTCCCACTCAGTAGGTCATTTGTTTTTTAGTTTTATTGTTTGTTTCCTTTGTATGCAAAAGCTTTTTATTTTGCCACAGCAATCAGATAAGAAAAGGAAATACCATCCAGTGGTATTTTCTTTTCCACAGCAATCAGATAAGAAAAGGAAATTGGTAAGCAAGAAGTAAAACTTTCACTATTTGCAGATGACATGATAGTATATATAGAAAACCCTAAAGACTACCCCAAAAAATTATTAAAACTGATAAATCAAGTAAGGTCACAGTATACAAAATCAATGTACAGAAATCTGTTGCATTTCTATACACTAATAATGAAGCAGCAGAAAGAGAAATTAAGGAAACAATCCAATTTACAATTGCACCAAAGATAATAAAATACCTAGGAATAAACTTAACCAAGGAAGTGAAAAACCTATACACTGAAAACTCTAAAACACTGATGAGAAAAATTGAAGATGACACAAATAAATGGAAAACTATTCCATGCTCATGGATTGGAAGAAGAAATATTGTTAAAATATCCATACTATCCAAAGCAATCTACAGATTTAATGCAATCCCTAAAATACCAACAGCATTTTTCACAGAACTAGAACAAACAATCCTAAAATTTGTATGGAACCACAAAAGATCCTGAATAGCCAAAACATTCTTGAAAAAGAAATATAAAGCTGGAGATATCACAATTCCAGATTTTAAGTTATACTACAAAACTGTAGTAATCAAAACAGTATGATACTGGCACAAAAATAGACACATAGATCGATGGAATAGGATAGAAAGCCTAGAAATAAACCCATGATTATATGGTCAGTTAATCTATCAATCTTCAATAAAGGAGGCAAAAATATGCCATGGGAAAAAGAGTCACTTCAATAAATAGTGCCTGGAAAACTGGATATCTACATGCAAAAAAAAAAAAGAAAAGAAAAAAAAAAGAAACTGGACCACTTTCTTACACCACACACAAAAATAAACTCATAATGCATTAAAGACCTAAATGTGAGACCCAAAACCATAAAAATCCTAGAAGAGAGTACAGGCAGTAATTTCTCTGGCATTGGTCATAGCAGCATCCTTCTCGACATGTCTCCTGAGGCAAAGGAAACAAAAGCAAAAATAAACTACTGGGACAGAATCAAAATAAACAAACTCCTTTAAAAAAAAGCTTTACCAAGATGCAATTTATCCATTTAAAGTGTGCAATTCAATTGTTTTTGGTATATTCCGAAATTTAGTATATATTTAGTATATTTAGTTATGCAACCATCCCTGCAATAAATTTTACAACATTTTCATTACCCCACAAAGAAATCCTGTATCCTTTGGCAGTCACTCCCCATTTCTCCATCCTAGGTAATCCCTACTCTATTTTTGGTCCCTATAGTTTTGACTCCTCTGGACTTTTCACGTAAACTGAATCGTATGATATGTTGTCTTTGTGACTGGGTCCTTTCACTTAGCATGTTTTTAAAATTCATGCATATTATAGCATGTGTCAGTACTTAACTCCTTTTTATTGTTGAACAGTATTCCATTGAATGGATCTACCGCATTTTATTTATTAATTTATCAGTTTATAGAATGTGAGTTGCTTCCACTTTTTGACTATTATGAATAATGCTGCTATTATGAACATTTATGTGCAAGTTTTTGTGTAGAAGTATGTTTTCAATTCTCTTGGGTACATACCTAGAAGTGGAATTGCTACATCATATGATAACTCCATTCTTAATATTTTGAGGAACTGTCAGACTTTTCCACAGCTACATCATTTTACTTTCCAATCAGCAATGTATGAGGATTTGAATCCTTCACATCCTCACCAACACTTGTTGTTGTCTGTCTTTTTTTTCAAAACTTTTTTTTTTCAGCCCTTGTTATTTGTCTGTCTTTTCCCCATTGAATGGTCTTGTTATCCTTGTTGAAAATCAATTGACTATAGGGGCACCTGGGTGGCTCAGTCATTAAGCGTCAGCCTTCAGCTCAGGTCATGGTCCCAGGGTCCTGGGATCGAGCCCTGCATCGGGCTCCCTGCTCGGCTGGAAGCCTGCTTTTCCCTCTCCCACTCCCCCTGCTTGTGTTCCCTCTCTCGCTGTGTCTCTCTCTGTCAAATAAATAAAATCTTTAAAAAAAGAAAAAAAAAGAAAATCAATTGACTATAAATGTAAGGGTTTATTTCTGGACTCTCAATTCTATTCCATTGATTGGTAGGTCTATCTTTGTACCAGTACTATACATTTTTTATTATTGTAACTTTATAGTAAGTTTTGAAATCAGGAAATGGGAGTCCACCAAATTTCTTCTTTTTTTCAAGATTGTTTCGACTTTTCTGGGTCACTTGCTGTGCAGAAAAGAGTAATATAGCAGGCTTATGATTAAAAAAAAGACCTGCCTACTAGGTTGGATCTTGCCTGGAAATTGGATTTTTAATAAAAGTGGCTCACTATGTTTGAACTGTTTATATAAACAGTATGGTTTATTTGAACACCTGCCTTCCTTCTGGGAGTCTGAAGTTGTGGTACATGCTAGTCAGAGGGTGCCCGCATAGCACATGGAGTGCCCCAGTGAATTCCCTGGGCACTGACTGCCTAATGAGCTTCACTGTGGACATTTCACACATGTTGTCACAAATCATTGCTGGGGAAATTAAGCACATTGTGTGCGACTTCACTTGGAGAAGACCGTTGGAAGCAGGAATCTTGTTTCCTTCACTTTGCCCTGTGCATCTTTTCCCTTTGCTGATTTTTTTCTGTATCATTTCATTGTAATAAATCATAGCCATGAGTACAACTGTATGCTGAGTCCTGTGAGTCCCCCTAGTGAATCATCAAACCTGAGGGTAGTCTTGGGTATCTACGACACACTCATTAATATTAACATATTAATGTTAAGATCCCCTTGCCAATATCTTCAAAAAGCCTTCTGGGATTTTGATAAGGAATGCATTGAATCTATCAATTTGGGAGCTATTTCCATCTTAACCATATTGTCTTCCATTCGATGAACATGGATGTTTTTCCATTTATCTAGGTCTTCTTTAATTTCTCTTAGCAATGTTTTATAGTGTTTAGTTTAGAAGTCTTACACTTTTGTTAAATTTATTCCTAGTTTATACTTTTTGATGCTATTGTAAACAGTGATTTTCTTAATTTCATTTTCAGTTTCCTTATTGCAAACTAAATAGTTTTCACTATATAGAAATACAATTGATTTTTCTGTTTGATATTATGTCCTGCAACCTTGCTGAACTCATTTATTAGCTTTAATAGTGTGTGGAGGGTGTGTGGTTATGTGGAAAACTTAGGGTTTTCCATATATAATATGATGTCATCTGCAAACTGAGATAATTTTGCTGCTTCTTTTCTAATCCAATACTCCTCCTTCCTTCTTCCTTCTGTCCCTCCCTATTTTCCTTTCTCCCTTCCTCCCTCCCTCCTTTCTTCCATTTCTTTTTTCCTAACTGCACTGACTAGACCTTTCCGTACAAAGTTGAACAGAAGTGGCAAGTACAGCCTGATTTTAAGCGCAAAACATTGAGTCTTTCAGCATAAATCTAAGGATTGGTTGTGGGGTTTTTTTGTAGATGTGTGTGTGTGTTGTTGTTGTTGTTTTAATCAGGCTAAGGAGTTTCCTTCCATTTCTAGTTTCCTTTGTATTTTTATCATGAAAGGGTGTTGGATTTTATCCAAAAATTTTTTTCTGCATCTATTCAGATGATCATTTTTGTTTTTGTTTTGTTTTATTTTCTATTAATATGGTATATGACATTGATTTTTTTTATATATACAACCAATCTTGCATTCCTGAGATTAATCCAACTTGGTCGTGGTGTATGACCCTTTGCTGGTATTTTGTTGAGGATTTTAATGTCTTTATTAATGAAACATTGGTTAGTAGTGTTCTTTTCTTGTGATATATATGTCTAGTTTTGGTATCAGATTAATATTGCCTTCATACAGTATGTTGGGAAATGGTCCTTTAATTTAAAAAAAATTGTGAAGGATTGCTATTAATTCTTCCTTGTTTGTTTGATAAAATTCACTAGACTGTCTTTTTTAAATGTTAAAAATGAGAAATATTTTTTATATTTAGCCACATATCTGCTTTTTCTTTACTCTTCATTCTTTTGTGTAGATCCATATTTCATCTAGTATCATGTCCTTTGTATGAACAGCTTACTTTAATATTTCTCACAGTACAGGTTTGTGATAAATTCTCTCAGCTTTTGTTCATCTGAAAGTTTTTTTTTTTTTTAATTTCAGCCTTTTTAGAATGTCACAACTTTAACCTCTGACTTGCAGAGTTTCTGACAAAATTCTGTCATTCTTATCTTTGTTCCTCAATATTTAATGTGTCTTTTTGTGTGTGATGTTTTTAAGTTTCCTCTCTCTCTCCACCCCCCCGCCGGCAATTTGATCATGATCTGCCTTGGTTTGGCTTTCTTTAAGTTTATTCTCCTTATAGTTGACTTTCTTGGACTTGTGGGTTTGCGGTTTTATCAAATTTGGAAAATTTTCCAGCGATTATTTTTTCAAATATAGTTTCTGTTCTCCCCTCTCTCCTCTCCTTCTTCTGGACTCCAGATACACATACATTAGACCATTTGGTATATTTCCACAGGTAACTGATTCTTTGTTCATTTTTTCCCAGTAATTTTTGTTTTTTTCATTTTAAATAGATTCTATTGCTATGTCTTCATGTTCACTGATCTTTTCTTCTGTGTCTAATCTGCTATTGGTGACTTTTTAAATTTCACGTATATTTCCTCTCTAGAAGTTCCATTTTGGTATTTTCTCTATCTTTTGTTTCACTTTCATTATGTTCATGTTTTCCTTTTCATCTTCAAGTATATTTAAAATATTTTTAAAAAACTGTTTAAAGGCCTACTTCTTTCTTCATCCTTATTGGATCTTCTATTCACTTATTTTTCTCCTGGTTATGGATCATGTTTTCTTGTTTCTTTGTATGTCTAGTAAATTTTTATTGGATGCTTGACATTTTTAATTTTGTAGGTAACTGTTAGATTTTATTGTCTTCCTTTAAAGAGCATTGGACTTTTTCTGGAAGGCAGTTAAGTTACTTTTGGAGGTTTGATCATTTTAAGGTTTGTTTTAAAGCTTTTGTAGGGCAGGTCTAGAGTAGCCTTTATTCTAGAACTAATTTCATTCTACTTCTAACATGTGGTCCTTCTTGGTCCCCTATTGAATGCCCTTATAGTCAGTTGGGTCTCTCCACTTTGGCTGGAGGAATGTAAATTATTTCTATCCCATTATGAACATTATAGGAAATATTCATCTTATAGGTCCTTAGCTATTATTCTTTTGTAGGAAGTTATTCTTGCCTGACTTCACAGAGTTTCATGATGCTCAGATTATTATTCAGCTAATAATACTCAAGGGGACCATATGCAGACTTCTGAAATTTTTAACTCTTGTTTGCAAAGCTCTGTTTTTTCCAAGACTCTGCCCTTCAAATTCTAGCTGTTTTGGCCTCCCTGAGCCATGATCTCTGGCTCCTCAACTCAGTGGGATCATTGGACTCTCCATGTCCTGCAGCCTGATGACTGCCTCTAGGCAGTAAGCTGGGGCAGTCATAAGATTTGATCCATATGTTTCCCTTTGTTCAGTGATCATAATCCTGCAATACCTGTAGCCCAATGTCTGAAAATAGTGGCTCATATGTTCTGTCCAATTTTTTATTTGCTTACAGTATGAGAATATTCTGGCCTGTCTTCCTCCTGCATAGTCAGAAGCACAAGTCTCCACTGTGTCTGTGTGTTTAATCTGACAAGGCTCTGCCAGCCGGCCTGCATGATAGCTACAGCTATCTGTGCTTCCACCAGCAATGCCTGAGGTGTCCTGTGGTGGTGTGGATGTATTGAGCTGGAACTCTAAAGCAGACTACTGCTCTTCACTCCCTGCCCTTTCTCCTTTGCCTTTTGCAGAAAAAGTGTGAGCGTTACTGGGCCCAAGAACAGGAACCACTACAGATTGGACTTTTCTGCATCACCCTGGTGAGCTGGAGCAGAGGTGGGAATAGTGTTTTATGAAGTCTTGGATGTTGTGGGAGGTTTCACAGAAGATTCTCAGGGAAGCTTTTGGGCTGGGCCTGAAAGGATGAATAGTTTTCCCACAGTCCCCTCACACTGCAGGGAACCCTCTGGTATTAGGGTGCAATAGCCAGAACTCAATATATACATTGCTTTTGCATTTTAACTATGATCATGGTTATCTCTGTTATATAAATGTGCCTGGTTAAGTTCTCAAAATCCCTATTTCCCTTACCATTTCATAACTCAGGAAAATCTCTTACCTCAAGTCAAATACAGTTGGTACATAATAAGTACAATAAACCTTTTGTAGAAAAGAAATCTTTTTTCTTTTTTCACTATAAATGAGCTTGTTGGGGTTTTTAATCATAGTTCTTTCTCCCCTCTATCAAATGTTTCCTTCAGGAAAGCCATGGGGGATATCTGAGCTGAATGAATTTTTAAAAATATGTTGCCTTTGATTTTTAATCAGAAATGCTTTGTTTTCTGCAAATGTCTTTTGGCACCTGTGGTCTTTGCTCTCCTCTCTCTTCCCATCTGCCCCACATCCTCAGACAAGGGAGACATGGCTGAATGCAGACATCATGCTCAGGACCCTCCAGGTTACTTTTCAGAAGGTACTTAAAGGGAGGAGGAGGCTCCCATATGGGGAGAGCTATTTTCTCTCTCTGTTTTCTCATTTGTAAAATGGGCATTAGCAGTAGTACCTATCTCCTCAGTTATTATCTGTTGGATTTAAATGGAAGATGTTTAGAACTGGGCCTGACAAGCAGTAGGTACTCAATAAATGCTTTTTTATTATTTGCCGCTCTTTTCCTGTGTTTCAGGAATGTCGTTCTGTGTACCAGCTGCAATATATGTCCTGGCCAGACAGAGGAGTCCCTAGCAACCCTAAACATGTGCTCACCATCGTGGAGGAAGCCCGTCGCCTCCAGGGATCTGGATCCAGTCCCCTCTGTGTCCACTGCAGGTTTAAGAAATGGGTTTTATGGGGGTCTGGTGAGACAGAGATGACTGGGGGGGGGGGAATGTGGAAGGCAGGGAGGCCAGTGCAGGCCTTGAAGCCAGTGTCACAGTTTGAGTGCCTCTTTTGAAAAACCTGAAGCCACACTGGCTTGTGCTGTATCAACTGAAATTTAGCATTTATTGAGTGCAGATTGCCTGCGGGAGAGTAGTAAACACAGAGTTGATGCTCAACAAATGTAAGCAATTAAAAAGTTTTTTCTTTTAAATTGTAATCTGGGGATTCTGAGAATCAAAAGGTGCTGCAGGGGGTCCTCGATTAGGACCTTCACTCCCAACCCCAAACGCCCCATATAAAAGGGGTTGTGGGCAGGTCCTGACCAAGCTTATGCTTATTCTTGCCTGTCAGCGCGGGTTGTGGGCGAACAGGTGTCCTGTGCACTGTGGATTATGTGAGACAGTTGCTCCTCACCCAGGTATGAATAGGGCATATGTGTGCTTATGTGCAGTGCAGGTCCCATGCCCACCAGGTCCTGCTCATGTGCCCTCTCTGCCCCAGATGATCCCACCTAACTTCAGCCTCTTCAACGTGGTCCTGGAGATGAGAAAGCAGCGGCCCGCAGCTGTGCAGACAGAGGTGAGAGCCTCAGTCTCCTCAATACAAGGACACATCCCTCCTCCTCTTGTCTTCCCTTTCTGATGATTCCTCTTCCCCCACCAGGAGCAGTACAGGTTCCTATACCACACAGTGGCTCAGATGTTCTTCTCAGCACTCCAAAACACCAGCCCCGTTTACCAGAATTTCAAGGAGGTACCAAGGCCCCCTTCCTACTCTCTTCCTGCCCACCATCAACACCCTCAGAGACCAGGACCCAGAGCAGAAGTCTTTGGCCACCATCACTGCAGCATCTAGCCCATGGACTCCTTCTGGGAGTAGAGACTATGATACCCACTTTTGTCCTCCTTGCTACCTTATCAGACTGTTCCTCTTAAGCTTCCCCACCCCAGCCCCACCTTATCAGACTGTTCCTCTTAAGCTTCCCCACCCCAGAATCCATGGTCACCTCCATCAGGAGTCTGGCCAGTTTCCTCCAAGTCTCATACCCTTTCCCTCCTGTGTTTCCCCAGAATTGTGCCCCAATCTACGACGATGCCCTCTCCTTCCAGACTTTCCAGACCCTTCCCACCACACCGCGCCCACCTGGCGAGGTCCTCAGGTACCCAGCTCCATCTCCTCGTTCTTCCCTTTCCAATTTCTCATGCTCAGAGGCTAACCCTTTCCTCGCCCTTGAAACTCCAGCCCTTCCTTGCTGTTCAGTTTACCAAATATTCACTGGCTCTTTCTTTGAACTGAGTCGTGGAACCTGACCCAAGATGACACTTTGATCCCAGAGATCCCATTGCCTCTGCCTCTAAGTCTAGCCCCTATGTTAGCCCTTTCTTTGCTTCCCTAGACATTAATTTAGCAAATATTTCTTGAGGCCGCCCACTTGTCAGGCCTCATGTCATGACTCTGGGGACACAGAGTCAACCTTCGTTTGCAGCAGATTTCACCCCCACGTCCTTTAGACTAGCTCTCCATTTTGAGGCTATCCCTCCCTCTCTTTTAGATGCCACTTCCTCATTCTTTTATTCGGACATGTACACAGAAATGACCACCCCTCAGTACCAATACCCTGCCCCATTCACCTGCCAGGCTGTCCCCTTCCTTTCACCCACCTAACTTGCCAGGCACTCGAGACACAGAACCGAGATCCAGAGACCCCTCCCTCTCTCCCCTGAGACCTGCCCGCCGGCTTTCTCCGACCTGCGACCGGCGAGCAGCCTCGGGCGGGAAGGAAGCCAGCGGTTGGCGAGCTAAGCGCACTCCCCACCCCCTCCCTCCCTTGGCCCAGTCGCTTCACTTCCTCCCCCGCCCGCCCCATCCGCAGAAGCATCTCGGTGCCTGGGCCCCCGGCCCTCGCCATGGCCGACACGTACGCGGTGGTGCAGAAGCGCGGGGCGCCCGCGGGCACCGGGGCGGGGGCGCGGGGGCGCGGCGCGGAAGAGGCGCCGCTCTACAGCCAGGTGACGCCGCGCGCCCAGCGGCCGCCGGCGCACGCGGAGGACGCGCGTGGGTTGCTGCCCCGCCGCGGTGAGTCCAGGGCGGGCCGGGCCGGGGCGCTAGGCGGGAGGGCCGGCACCTACCTGCGCCTTCTCCAGACCCAGTCTTGCTGGGGTCGGGAAGTCCCTGACGGCCTCAAGGAGCACCCCCCTCCCCGACACACACACACACCCGCCCCCAAGTCCGGCCTGGTCAGGGCCTAAGTTGACGTACGTGCTTTCCCGGCCACGCCTCTGGGACTGTTGCCCAACTCCGGTCACGGCCGGTAAAGGGTGCCAGGCCTAGCCTTGGACTCAAGGCTCGGTCCGTTTCTCTGGCGACGCTAGCTAGTCCAGGCGGACACGTCCGTTTCCACTACCCGCCCTCCGGCTGCCCTCACCGCCCTGGCCCCCAGCCTGCCAGCTCAGGCCCCGGGTGGGTTCCGGAGCTCCGTGGGGCTGCCTGAGTCAATCCTTGGGGTGTGGTTTTCTGCCCGCAGTTCCTGCTGACCAAAGCCCTGCTGGGCCTGACGCCTATGAGGATGTGGTGGATGGAGCTCAGAATGGTGGGCTAGGTGAGTCAAAGCCTGGGTTGCTGGGCCTCCGCAGCTTTGACCAGGATTTGGGGGTTTAGGGATGGTGGCATGGGGCTCACACTCTCCCGAGTTCTGCGGATTTGGCTGCAATAAACAACCAGGGCCTGGAGGCTTAAGGATGACCTTCCACACATCTCCGCGCTTCAGCTTCTCCACGAAACACATGGTGCCCTTCTTCCAGGCTTCAACCTGCGCATTGGAAGGCCTAAAGGGCCCCGGGACCCCCCTGCTGAGTGGACCCACGTGTGAATGCTGCACCCTGCCTGCCTCCTGCCTCACATGGGCACCTGGACTGCTGACGGCCATTCTCTGCTATGTGAAGTGTTGGAAATGGGAATGCTGGTCCTGGATCAAAATAAAAGTTTCTCAGGGTGGAAATGTAGGGGCTTTGCCCCAATGATTATAGTATTCAAGGCTTGAGGCTGGGGGAGGTAGTTGGGAGATAATGGCTGGTGAGACTGCAGTGAACAGATTTAAGAATAAACATCAGGAACGGGCCCAACCCCCGGGACTAGGCAGGTTCTCCCAGGTGTGAAGAAAAGGATGGGCAGATGGGCTTCTGGAGACTGCCGCCATCACCACATAATGGACTAGTTCATCTCAATATCTGAGCCTCCCTCACTTAGACACTCAGCTGGACACAGAAATGGGTAGGCCCTGAAAAAGACTGATAGACACTCCCCCACCCCCCAACCACCATTCAGACAGATCCAAGCCAAGTATAACAACCCAACAAACTGCTTTCAAACAGGTAAAAAAGATCCCCACATGGGTGCACAGACAGATGGGCCCCCAACCAGGACAAGTAGATAGCCATACACCTAGACAGCCAGACCTTCAGAAGGACAGTCCACAGCTGGATGGATGGACCTCCCATCAGATAAATCAACTAACAGCCTGACAGACCACCCCCTGCAAGAGAGACCATCAAAAAGACCCCTTTCCCAGCTAGGCAGCCAGCCAGACACCAGCCAGATGGACCCCTAGGTGGACGGACTCCCAGACAGACATAAACAAATCCCTAGCTGAACAGATACAGACATCCTCTCAGCTAGACAGACCCAGCCCCAAGTGGGCGGATAGACTGACAGACCTAGTCAGACTCCTAACCAGCCAGATGGACTCCCAGCCAGACAGAAAGACCCTTGATTGTACAGACACCTTCCCAGCAAGGCAGATAGGTGGGTAGTCCCCACCAACTCACCAATTCCAAAGACCCACATTTTAGCGGACAAATTGATGCACCACCTGCTGGGAAGACTGCCAGGTGGATCCCCAGGAAGTCAGCAGGCCAGATAAGTAGACAAACCCTCAGGTAGATAAGCATCCTAAGCCAGACAGATCGCCCACTGTCCAAACCATCTACCAGCCTGGCATACCTTGCAAATCAGCAGATCCTTCAAACAGGCTAGATCCCTGCTCACCAGATCAACCCTCCAATCTCTCAGATAGGGCCTCATTGGAGGATGAACCCCTAGTCAGACACATGACAGATGACCCCAGCCAGTCAGTGAGGCACTATGCTCAGAGATAAAAGAACCCCAAGCCAACTGGCCAACTAGATTCTGAGCTAGACAGACAGAACCCAAACCAGATGAACAGGTGGACCCCCATCTGGAGAGATGAATGGACCCCCAACAAGTCAGACCCTATTTAGACAGATCCCCAACTAGATGGACCCAAATCTGACAGGAAGACCCCCAACCAGACTAACTCTGAGCTGTTCACACAGACCCTGGCCAGACAAGCCTCCAGTCCTTGAGCTGACAGCAGATGCACACAGATTGCTAGTTTGGCAGATAGATCTGCAGCTGGTAAGACAGACACCTAGCCTCACAGACAGATAGACTGACCCCAGACTGACAGATCAGCCTGTAGCTAGATGGGATGATAAATCTCCAAGTAGATAGCTGGAAAAGTGAACTCCAGACAGACTGAATGCCAGCTTGGTAAGACCTTCAGAAAGACCTCTGGCCAGACAGATAGGGAGACCCCCAGCCAGAAGGACTGCAGCCACACAGATCCCCAACTAGACAGACGCTCCATGAGCCAGACAGATCTCCAGTTAGAAAAATGGACCACCCAGCCAGAAAACAAACAGTCCTCCATCAAGATGGATCTTCATACCAGACAACCCCAAGTGGACAGTAACACAAGAGTAGATTTACACTTGATGCTCCAAAACCCTGATCCTGCTCTGTGAGCTTCTCTCCTGATGTGATCTCCTGACAATGTCTAGTTCATTCAGGTTCCCATCCATCCTTCCCTAACACAGAAATCTGTCCTGTGTGATGAGCATGGACCAATGAGGCCTTCACCTGCCACCTGCCCAGCCAGGCCCACATCCCTCATACAGTTACTGTGAGAATTCAGTGAAAGAGAACATAAGATTTAGTTCAGGAGCTTATGCTTGATAATTGTTAGACCATAATCAGGCTGAGACCAGTCATTTGCTTTTTGAGTGTTTGTAAAACGAAGGTGAAACTTGCCTTCCTTGACCAAACAATGCTTGCTGGCATTGGACTTAATTTGTCAAGTGCTGTAAGGTCTGCATAAGAAGCGGTTCAACCAGCCAAAACCTGGAATTGCAGAGAAACCTAGGGATTCTCCAGCTTAATGGGGAACAGGAGGCCAGCATTACCTGGAGTCCAAACTCTTAGGCAAAAGTTAGAGCTGACCTTGGTGGAAAGAGGCAGGAAGGCAGGAAGGCTCCAAGGCTGCTGGTAACAGAGGAGAGTCAAGGTGTCATTTAGAGTGTAAACTGATCTCATAGCCAGAAATATTAAGTTCATTTGGCTCCAGAGACCAGAAAGGGAAAAGCAGTAGTATCTTGGAGGAGAGGCATCCCATGGCAGAAGGAAGAAGCATATTTCCCTCCTCAGGGGAGGGAAACCATTGTCAATTAGAGCATTGGTCTCTGGGGTCTGTCCTGAAGCCAGCACCCACTCAGCCCGACTTCCTACCAGAAACCATAACTGTGGGGTACCGTAGACCCATTTAGGTAAGATTTTTTAACAGTTAGGTCTAAGGCTGAACTGTTTGCAATTCTTAGCTGCCCATTCCAGACTGAAGAGTTGTTCTGCTGAAAGTGAGAAGAACAGCACCCTTGTGACTATCTGAGCAGGTAGATGCCCAGCAACATAGAAAAACCTGTAGGCTTGCAAGGTAGAGCATTCAGAAGAATGCTGGACTGGGCTCTTCACATATTTTATCTCATTTAATCTGTAAAGCAATATTTATAAGTAAGTATTGCTACTGAACCCATTTTGTAGATGCAAAGGAGACTCAGAGAAGATAGTTGTTAGTTTGAGATTCACACCCAGATTTAGGTCTCAGTGTTTAGTGTTACAGAAATACATGGCTCTGAGCAAAAGAAGCCCTAAAACGTTAAATGAATATAAATAGCTAGCACTGACTAGGTTCTTGGTATGCACAAGGACTGAATGATTAATCTTCAGAGCAACCCACACATAGAGGTAATTTTGTTATCCCCACTTTACAGGTGCCAGGAATAACTGCAATGAACACAGCATCATTTAATATTTCTTTAAACTAAGTAGGCCTGTATCATAGTGATTAATAGCTTGGACTCAGTCACTTACTAGTGGTGTGATCTTGAGCAAGTTTTCAGTTTCTCTCGGGTTCAGTTAGTTTCCTAGTCTATAAATTGAGGACAATAAAGTTACTTTTATCATAGGGCTACCACATGAATGATTGTTCAGTGCACGAATGAATCTGGATTTTTACAACACACATAGAAAAGATTTCTTATTTTTTCAGGGATTATTTCCAGAATAAAATGATTTACATAGTTCTAGTCTTGGTTAACAGTTACATTTTAAGTCAGTGGGCAAAAAAATGGTTTATTCAACATATGGTATTGAGATAATTAAGTAGTCATTTAGGAAAAAAGAAGTTTGAGCCATACATCATACCCTACAGCAGGACAAATCCTAAATGTATCAGAGATTTAAATATAAAATAATAAACCATGGAAGCATTAGAAGAAATTATGGGAAATTTTCTTTATATTCTTGGACTGCAACAGTGCTTGCTAAATATGGAAAGGCATCAGAAGTCCAAAAGAAATATAGATAAATTTTAATGCATAAATATATTTCAACCTCCATAAGCACAGTCAGAGAATTAATGACAAACTTGAAAAAAATTTACGACAGATCGAACAGAAAGCTCATTTTCTGAGATATAAAAATCTCTTAAGAATAAGTAAAGGCCAAAAACTCAAAATAAAGATGTGCAAAGATGCCCTATCTTACATGTAATAAAAACATGAAAATCAAAATTTTATACTGAGATAGCTGATTCCACTTATGTTAGCAAAGATCAAAAAGTTTAATAATACTGTGTTGTCTAAGATATAAGAAAACGTTCTCATATAGAGCCAGTGGGTGTTTAAATGCATACAACCTCTATGGAAAGCACTTTAACAATATCTATTTAAAAATGCACATACTCTTTGAGGCAGAAATTTCATTTGTAAGGCATTTGTCTTCTGTGGGCACTCACAGAACTCTAAAATGACTGTTACACTGAGTTATTCACTGTAACACTGTCTGTAGTAGCAGAAGGCTGGAAATAAATGTTCTCAGTGGGGTTCTGGTTAAACAAATGCTATGATGGAATACTATGCAGTGTAAAAAAGGGGAATGAGACCCACCTCTGTGCACTGGTGTGAACAAATTTCTGAATCATGTGGTAAAATGAAAAAAAGTATATTAACTTACTTTATAAAAAAATATTTTATATGAACATATATAAGTATGTTTTTCCTTATATACACATAAAAAGTATTTGAAAAAATCACAAGAAATTTGGCAAAGGCCTGAACGTGTGGGGCGCTATCCTGCAGCCACCCCGCCTTCTTTTCAGCTCCTCAAATCTTCCATGCTCAGGCATTTGTGTTGGTTGTCCTGTCTTCCCAGAGCCTCAAGTGACCATCTCTGACTCTTGTGCACACTGAGGTCCCTGCCAGTACTGCTATGGTGCCCTGGGGATCCACATCCAGCTGTGTCCAACCCACATAAAAAGATATCAGGACTTTTACCCACAAAGAGTAGCTAGTTTTCATTATGCTTCTTATGTGGTAGGTACTATTCAAAGTGTGATAAATGTATCAATTCATTTAATACTCCCAAAGAGATTAGTACTATTTGTATCCCTATTTCATAGATATAAAAAACTTAGATGGAGACATTAAGCAATCCAAGGTTACACAGTTAGAAAATAGCAGAGATGTATCTCTAATCTAGACATTCTGGCCCCCCCACCAAAAAAAGTGTAGTCATGCCTAAAACTTTTTCCGCCCTGACCTTCCTTAAATAGGTCAGTGTCCCCATGAAAACGTGAGATCAGAAGATCTA